AATGTTTATGGAAAGAGAAATCATAAACTTTTTCCCTTACTTCCTCAAAGTAATGATGTCTTTATCCTGTAATTTCTTTTTCGATTCACGTGCATTCTCCACAGAAAAGAAACTATTTTATTCTTTTGATGGTGAAAATGTGAAAAGTGTGTTAACGACAAAGAAGAGTGTGTTATTTGCACTGAGACGTGTAGAAACACAACGTTTTTTTGTTCGTTCGAACATGAATCCATTTTCATCAAATAAACTGTGAGAATTTTTATATAGAGTCGATCTGAAAAATGATTCGTCGATCAGAAACGAAGACTATATAAATTAGTTAGCTATAGATAGAACATTCAATTTGCCATATAGGAAAAAAGTCTTTGATATTACTGATTAACTCAACTATTTTTGATCTTCATTTCAATTGCCGTAACTGTATATAATTCTTTCTGTTTAATTTAATTGTCCCATATNATTTTCATCAAATAAACTGTGAGAATTTTTATATAGAGTCGATCTGAAAAATGATTCGTCGATCAGAAACGAAGACTATATAAATTAGTTAGCTATAGATAGAACATTCAATTTGCCATATAGGAAAAAAGTCTTTGATATTACTGATTAACTCAACTATTTTTGATCTTCATTTCAATTGCCGTAACTGTATATAATTCTTTCTGTTTAATTTAATTGTCCCATATCATAGCTTTTGAGCGAGTTTTCCAGAAGCCCCATAGCAAAAAAAATGTGGCTTTTTTGTACTTGGATGCATGTGCCGCACATGACCGCGCACATGTGCATTAGATTGGCCATGACCGATAAGCTGTAGCAAAATATCGACAAATTATTTAACGCTCAAACAGTTTTTAAGTAAAAGGCGTTTAACAGAATCAGCATTTATTTTGCGTTTTTCTTAAGATTGTTTTTTAGCTTTAGGGTTTTCGCCATTCACAGGAATTCTCGGTAACGATACATCGGAGGAAGTGTTTCTTTTTTTTTATTTGTAGATAACACCTATAAGTAAGAGTTGACAGAGTCCGATTTTTAAAGTCTTAAGTCCTCATTTATTGAGGCAATTCGATGAATATTAAACAAAACACTCACGGTTTTTTGGTAAGTGTTGTCTCATACCATCATCGCACATGGTTTTCTATTGGTGTGTATTTCTTCAACTTTGTGGCTCGTACTAATATTGTTGGGAGTAATATCCACTCCAATATCGCCGGCTGACTTAATAATAAGATCATCAGTATTTTCAGCTTGAGTTTCTTCTATACAAAAAATCTAAGTTAACACTTCTATCATACTACTGTAAACAATTAGTTTCTATCTTTAATCAGAGGCAATAGTGAGTTTTTAACTATATTGGCTAAACGAGCAGTGAACTCTGGTAATTGCATCAATTGTCCAACAAATTTTTTTACATAAATATCAAGAGATTTTATAAGCTTATCATTTAAATTTTGTTTGACTTCAGTATAATTGCCATGTGCTGCAGATGTAAAAGAGGTGACCATATGAACAAGCGTCGAAGGAAAGAATAATTTTACTTAAGAATAACTAAGAACAACTTTATCGTGTTAGTTGAATCAACAAACGACGAAACCACAATAAACTTGAAGCTGTATCAAATCTACGATAACGTTTACCTTTTGGAAAATATCTGTAAGAGAGTTTTGCTTGCTCGTAGATATGCAAAAAATGTAGAATAAATTGAATTAATTATTTAATATCACCTGCGGAGATTCAAACAAATACATTTACTGAATTGTATGGAACGCTTGTCCTTAATATCGATATTGTATTTACATGTTATGCTAGAGATCTATTCCTGACTTCTTTCTCTAGTTTGAAATTGCTTTCTTGATCAAATTATATTCGCTTTGTTACAGGATGTTTAGGTATTTCTATTATATTTTGAGACCAGCCGAATTGGTGTTAGATAACTACGTAGCCTGTTGAGATAAAACCTGAACGCTGAAAGTGGTTAAAATTCAACAACAAATAGCAGTAAAAACAAGAAAATAAAACTTATATGATGAATTGCTAAAAAAGTTTCGCCCACTTTTCAAACTTAAACCATGTATTTATTCAAATATTTTCTTGGTATGGTTAGTGACCAGATATTTTTTTGGGAAATAGCAATATATGGCTTTAATTGTCGTTATCCTCCTTTAGTTGTAGATCCTCATCATTTTCTACTGTCTGCTGGTGATGACGGCTACAAGAGAAACAGCGAAAGCACCGAATAGTTGAAAAATAGTATATGTGTGGTCTACTTACTCCATACATTCAATATCAGCAGCTCTTTGTGGCAAAGGTTTGTTACTTGTTTCGATCAATCTCGTAGCAAGAACGGCCGCGATCAAGGAGATAAGACTATATATAACAAGTGGCAAACTGATCCAAGTACGGGTCTAATGAAAAGAATATCATCAAAAACAAACTTTTGGCTTTCACATACACAGTGTGCATCAACGCGAGCTTTTGATGAAAAAATGAAAGTTGACTTTTCAGTGATTCAAATAGTAATAAATATACTTTGAAAAATGCTCTATTTGATGGCAAACATTTTTTTGGCCCGAGACTTATTTAAGCGAGGAAAAATATATCGATAAAAATTACGCTAAAAACGAGGGTGCAGTCGGAGAAATTAAAATTACGCAGAATCTACGGGAGCTATTGCTCAAATGAACACATCTAAAATCCGCATGAAATAGGCTATCGAATGCTAAGTTTTTTGATTTTGGACTCGTCAAGTCGGAAAAGTAATGTAAAACATTTTTCTAGCGGGTTTTCCCAGAAGTTATCTTTAGTAGAATGAATGCGCCCTCCATAGCCAGCTCGAAATACCATTCAAACTTTCGCAAAATGTTCTCCTTTATAATAACTGTCGGCACAGTTAAATCAGCATAAACACAGAATCAGCCCCAAAACTGCATAGAATGATGTATAGCTTCTTAATTTTTCTGCAGAAATATTTTCGATCAAACTGAATTTTAGAGTTGAAAGTCTCTCCACAGCAAATTATGCCTAGGACTTTGGATATTTGTTTTAGGAATAGTGCGAAAGTCTGAGGCCTGTCCAGAGGTGCAACCAGTATCAGTGTACCGGTACCGGTGCGAATTATAACGCTGACCGGTATACCGGCATTAGTATGAAGTATAATCAGTCGACCGATATTGCTGGTATTTTGCAGTATGATACCACTTTTTTCGAAAAACATCGTGTAAATTCAGTTCAATTGTGACATATTTCTTCCACTAAAATTTCATGCCAATTGCTTAAACTTTGTCGGCTTATTCGGCTTATACAAACTTCTTAAATTAAAAGATTAAATTGGATTACTGTTTTCATAAAAATAAAGCGTGTGAAAAATCAGCTATACATAATGAAAGTGAACAGAGTTCACAGTACCATAGTATGACTTTCACAGTTTCATAGTTTCACAGTATGATAATATCACAGTATGACTTTCATGCTTTCACAGCATCATAGTATGAGTTTCATAGTTTCAGTGTCACAGTATCATAGTTTGACTTCCATACTTTCATAGTATCACGCAACCAAGGCAAGCTTTATAGTTTCATGTTGTATTCATCTAGGAAGAAATACTACAATATTGTCTTGTAACTCACTCTCCGGGGGGGGGGGGGGGGGGGGGGGGGGGGGGGGGGGGGGGGGGGGGGGGGGGGGGGGGGGGGGGGNCCCCCCCCCCCCCTCTGCCCCCTGATAGTCAGCTATGATAGCGTGAACTATGAAAGCGATGGTATGATACTGTGAAACTCTGCATTTATAGTATTATACTGTGAAAATGTGAAACTATGTATGTACGGTATTGGCACGATAAGGCGATACTATGAATTCATTGTTATACTATAGACTTTCACTGTATCAATTGACAACTATGGAAAGTCTATAATCACATTTTTTATAGGTTTTCAAATATTCTCTTTCCAATGGTGAGGTTTTCGAAATGCAACAATATTTTATATGGGTTTTCCAGAGATCCGGTCTCCAAAAAACCCACAAGAAATTATTTTGGGGTTCTGAAAATCTCACATTAGAAAGCACATATTCAAAAACCTATAGAAAAACGTGTTTTTAGACTTTCATACCACTTCTACAGCTCTATAAGAAAATGCACACTGTAGCATTGTAGGACGCCGAGACATGTAGGTACGGATTTATTTATATCTAATTTACAATGTTTTACGTGAAATGCTTCGTTGATAAACAGAGTATTCTCCTTGCAATTTGCAGTATGATTAAGGACTCTTTCAGCAATTCGAATATTCTATGAAAGTTGCGATATAGAGTTATGCATATGCTAAGATAGCCCCTGGTGTCTCTTTTAGAATCGATCCTAAAAAGTCGTATATCTACGGCTTTTGAATGTTGGCTTTAGTTGTTTAGAAAATTAAGGAGCTCTAGAAAACATAAAAGGAGGTTTGGGATTGTTGGATTTCTAGAAAACGAACAAAGATCTAGTTAAAAAATCTGATCTTCTCAACTAACGCAGTTAGATGTAAAACTAACACGAGATCTTTAGCTTAAAACATATGAATAAAAAATGTTGTAGATTGAAGGAGGATTTTCGATCTCAGAAAGCGTTACAAAAAAATCGAATTCCTGACGAGATGGTCCTTGAGATTTGCATGTATTGTTTAATTTGGAATCACACTTTCTGAAAGGGGATCTTAATGGGGCTCAGGATTTTGAGACTAAAAGAGGAACTAGAAAAGAAGAGCTCATCCCTTCTAATGGCGCAAGTACAGGAACAGAACACTTAACCATGGTCCAATAAGATTTCAGTTTTGATCCAAGGGAAGGTTTTTCGTGTATTTCTCCCAAAGCTCTTTTTTCCATTCGAGTTCTAGCAAATTTTTTCTTGAACAGATTAATCAATTGTTTTTTGATAATAGAGTGTTTGCTTACCAAAAAATCAGTGAAGAATGTGCCAATAATGGCTCCGATGCCTTAAACTAAAGCAATATACGCCATCTGTGATATACTTAGTTGATTGGCTTACGTGCAACCATACCACCCAACCCCAAGCCTGTGTTTCTCACGTTAGTGGGAAACAATTCATTCGCATAGATGAGAATAATCGCAAAGGATGCTGAGGCCAAAAATTTCAATGTAACATTAATTATGAACATCGCAGTTTTATGACCTAAATCGCAATTTTTTTATAACAATCATTTGTTTGTTTCAATTTACCTGTACTGTCTTTCATCGTAAAACTTTGTACAGGTAGTACTAGCAGAGCAACAATGGAATAAATAACCGCAAATAAACAATACGGAATTTTCCGACCAGTTTTCTTCAAGATTATGTGCACCAGAATATAAGCAAGGAGTTCAACCAAAGCACTAGCACCAAATGAAACGTAAGGATCAAATGGCCAGCTTCCTAAACATCAAACTGTTAGTAAAACAGAAGTAAATATTTTGTCATTGTACCTGTGCTCTGCGCTACACCGTAGTATACAATATTTTGAGCAATACTGATAAACAAGAAAAAATGGGGATTGAAAAATCACGAAATAATATAGTAATAGAATACATACAATTGAAAATATATATTAAGCGTAATTAAACACATCCTTTTCGAACGGAATAATACCATTGGACCGACTTGTTTCGTTGTTATTCTTCGAATGAAATTTCACAAAGTGTAAGTACAGGAGAATCGCAAAAATATGATGTTTTGCATCAATTTTATTTTAATCATCATGAAAACTTAGGTAAACGACTAACATTTGATGGAATTGACGTTTGTTGCTCTTTTAGAGCTGAAAATTTTATAGAACAAAAAACTTTATTCGGATGTTTTCTTCCAGCTGGCAAATGCATATTCTTATAAGAACCAGCTGATATTACCTTTTTTGTTCACCCTTTAAACGTTCAAATTCATCCTGATCAAAGTATCGTTTATTTTGCTTGGCAATATTTTTCAAAATTATTTCTGCATCATCAAATCTTCCTTTGCTCATCAACCAACGTGGACTCTCAGGTAAGATACTAAATAAAATAAAAGTTATTAAAAAGTCAAAATCGAGCACGAGCACCTTACAAATAAAAGAAAACAAATGGCACTGTTAGAACTGATATTGACCATGTCAATGTTCGCCATGTTCGAATGAAATAGGCGAAAAGTAAAAGGATAAACTGACCGATTGCAAAGAAATACTGAATCACGATTCCAGTGAATGTACGGGTTTTTGGTCCAACAATTTCTGACGCTAAAATTATATTCCCACATGCACATGTTCTGCGAAACAGATTCACGTACCAGCAACAAAGCCGCTTACAGCGACACCTCTTGTCGAGACGGCTAGTAAGAATCGACCAAGAACAAAACCAATATAACTAGGCCAAAATCCGAATCGAGGCTGTGGAAAAAATGCGCAAAAAAAGCCACTAAAGGACATTAAAATGAAACTGACACCCATAATTGGTCGCCGCCCATATCTATGCAAAATGATAAACGTATGTAGTAAAATTTATATGGTTAAAGGTGACCTTACTTATCAGCTAGAATCCCCAAAATCGTAGAACCAACCATGAAACCAGTGAAAAATATCATTTGAACTGATGTTTTAAACGTCAGTCGATCACACACCATCGACCACTGAAACAAATATATTATGCGGTAAAGTAACATATTCTAGCCACATACCTCTTCAACAAGTGTTTTTATGTAATATTGTCTATTAAATGAATAATTTTTACACGCTTGAAGACTGTTATTCTCCATTGTAAAATAACAGTGTTGACATTCTTTGAGCGATATCGACTTTTTATATGTTTTGCATTCACGTTCATCTGGAACTCTGTAGTCCACTGGTAGTTGACATTCAAAGTCGGGAGTAGCTGCAACGAATACCCATGAATAAACCATCATTGATGGCAGCATAAAAACGAGACATAGCCAGACAAATTTCAGTTTTTGGTAATAGCCAAAATCGTTAATTGTATACAAAAAATCATCAAACTTCATTCCTTAAGAGACTCTTGTTACACGATTGACGACACGATTACCAACTCTTCTTTTTCATAATCACAGCCAACAAAAGAACACACTTTTACTATTATTTAAAGAAGAACTCAAAGAATATGTTGTGCGGATATTATCTTACCTGTATGAGTTACACTATACTAATAAAGAATGAATTCCTACAGTCAAAGAGAAGAAAGAATGTTGCAGCTAGTACACTTACTGATTATTTTATGTATATTTGATATTACTTTAGAGTGAATCGAAGGAACCTTCACAAACATATTCTTCGATTTGATCGTCTTACATATAATAAGAACTATATTAACTTCGTTTTCATCTGTACTTCTCAGTCTACTTAGTCGTCTTTTCTTACCAGAGTATTACTGTTTGCACCTACTTGCATAAACTGTTCAGAACTCATGTATTAGTCATTTCTTGTGAAGAATTCGCCTGTTAATATTTTTATTAAATTACATTTGCTATGGAAGTCCGAAGAGCAAACGTTTTTTGACATTAGACTATTTTTTTAATAAAAACTGTATTTCAGTTTAAACGATGTCATATAATATATGATATTGTTATTAAAATAGAAGAAACAGAATTATGTCGCCAGTGCAATTGAGTGATCACACAAAGAAAATATACTCAGGACTATTGGGTCTGACCAAAACATTCCGTTGCAACTATGTACCGTAGAACATTGGAACCAGTTATTTAGATTTCATCTTATGAAAAACTCTTGCCGGTCTTCAATCATAGTAGGTCTAATGTGATATTTGGATTTAAGAAGAGCAAATTTGACAATAAATTTGTGCTAGGTACTGTGTAACGGGGGGACAGTACAATGAATAATACTCATCAGTTTCACTGTCCCATAATTACACTCATTTGCATCTAAATCACGAACAAACAGATAGTTATTCAATTGCAAGAACCTACTTTTAAACGCATACAGAGAACTTCTACCATGCAAAGCTCAAGTTTGGAACCTCCACAAATTTTTATTACTCCATTCGTTACTCAGTTTTGCTACAGTCCATCATGAAGTTTTTCAGTTTCATTAATTCTAGGTCAGAACACACATTGATTAATTAATTCCATTCTTGGAGAACTACGGTAAAAAACGACTTTTCAGTATTTTCGCCTGTTTCTGTTTTCTTTTCTATTGTTAAGGCGAAGTTTGTGATAAGGATGTTTCGTCTTTATAATGCTCGAATTTTTATTGACCATTTTTGATTCCAATTAGCGATCGGTTACAGGCATGCATATCGTTGAGTGAGCCGTGAATGTTGTTAAAGGTACAAATTTTGACAGAACAGCCAGTAGAAAAAGATAGTAAAATTTATGATAATACTACCTATCATTTTCATATCAGACAGTTTCATTCATCGTCAATTATTCGAAGATTCAACATACAAGAAGCATTCCTGGCGCATTGCTAAGTACAACCAAAAATAGATCAAAAAATATGTGTTAGTATTGAACATATTCTCTCTCGTGTGTCGATTCTCGATAAATATTGTTTCCATCAAAATTCTGTTTCAACATGTAATTCGCTTAAAAGCCAAATTTTCGAAATAAACTTATTTCAATGTGTTAAAACAACGAATCAATACAAAACAAGAGTTTACTGAAGTCAGACATATAGTTAAACAAAATGGATATCCTACGGCTATTCATTGATACGAGAATAGAAATCGATCTAAATAAATAGTATCAAAATAAAAACAACTCAAATATAAATACATTTATAAGTGATTGTGATATTTATATTATTTATTTATTTAAAAAGGATTGTACTTTTAGAGAAGAGTACTTTTCCTCCTGGGTACTAAATTTGATGTTGCCAACAAAGAGGTGTAAGACCAGAAATAAAAAAAACGAAAGTGTAGATGGTATTCACGAAGATAAGAAAGAAGAAGAAGACCTGAAGCATGGAATAAGAAACAAATAAGAGCAAATTATTTTCTACATATCAACACAATTTTAAGCGAACATTGATGAGTTATGAAGCAAAACATTTTGTGCACTCAATGTATTGATGTATGTGTTCCACTAAGAAACAATTTTGTTTTACACTCACGAAAACGTATGAAACGTAACCAGCAGCAAGTTCGTGTATAAACAATTCATTGCATTTTTAACAATATTGTATTTGGCTTCGGTTCGGAAAATCTTGTCAATAAATCATAATAACTATGGTATCAAATATAAATATTGACTTATTTTCAAAAAATTGATGAGATGGCTTTATTACGTGTGACTGTACCTGCTGCATCCCATAGTCCAATAGCACTTTTTTGGGATGACTATATTAGTGCAATTTAATTGTTGTTTCGGTTTACCAACGGCAGCTGACTCCGGTTGGTTATGATTTAGTCCCCGAAAAAACTTTGATGACAGAAGATTTATCCATGTCACTGTTACAATAATATGTGTCTTAGATTCATCTAGATCATATTTTTTCTCTGCTCTCTCATCTTCTTAACCATTTAGAAATACGGAAGTTCATATGCGACCACCCATCGCAGCTATTATATAATCTACATCATAAAAATCTACATAAAGAAACATTCTGACAATAGTCGGCCATTACCTTTACTTCAATGAGTTTCTGAAGTTTTTGAACGTATTGTCTACGACCATGTTTATGGTTTCTGAAGAACAAACAAGTTCGTCCTTTTGAATCAAGCTGTTTTCCTACGGGATCAATCAACTATTTCTCAACTTATTCGCTTTATTCACCACATTTCTACATCTTTTAATTCCAGTTCACTAGTGTTAGCCATATTTTCGGGCTTTTTCTGAACCAACTGATAAAGTTTTGCACTGTTTAAACCTAGTGCTGGTACACCGGACTTTCTGCTTAAGCGGTTTGAGCGTTATCTAAAACAACATAAGATGGTAACTACTGTTGATGGGAGTATAGAAAATGGAATGTAAAAGTTCTTTCATACTTTTCGTAATGTACTGATTTTTTGAAATTTTGGGTTCCTACGGTTTTTCGAATTTTTCCCCAGACCCCTAAAATTTGTCTGGGAAGGTCATCCTTGATCAGCTCATCGAGCTCTATCGAATGATGTATGAATAAACCGAAAACAAAATAGTGTTTGAATTTTGAATTAGTGGCACCTTATATTACACGAATAAAAATCAGTGTGAAATGGGGGATTCTTATTTGTAACGCGTTTTTCGGACTTTCTTGTCAACTTATTGTCCATCCAAAAAAAGGATGGTATATGGGTATTTTTTGAATAAGTTTTGAATAGTAAAAGCTAGAGAGCTGTGGTTTTCGCATATGGAAAGAGGACTCTATAGAGCATCTTCCTACAAGCGGAAAGTTTTTGAAAACGTTTTTGAAAAACCGATTTTTTTAGAGAATCTTTGTAAAACTTGTGGAAAACTCAAAATTTTTAAGTAGTAACCTATTGGTTTTTTTGTGTCAGTAGATAGAGGAAAGTGTCCTGTTTAAAATGGGATTTAAGCGATCTCATGAAAATCCTTAGTTTGGTGAGAGGGGTCGTTTAGTCCCTAAGGACCAGAATCGGTTTCCTCTCTGTCTGACAACCTTGAGTATCTTGTCCAATCATAGATTATCTACCATCCTGAATCCCGTGAGAATGTCTATTTCACGATTTGAAAGCATGCGCTTCATTAAAACTCAAATTCATCTTCCGTTGCCCGGACTATAGTGCAGATACAAGGCAAAAAAATACCTTTTATTACTATTTAACGTTAAAGAAATAGAAGAAACAACGTAAAGAGACGAAAATCGTTGGAATTTAATCTGCGTCTTCACTATTAACGTTGGAAGAGATATCCCTAACTAAACATGCCTAACATGTATACGTGGATGGAGAGAAAGGCAAAATAATGTGCGCGCACAATGATATTTTATCAAAAAGGAGAAAGAAAACACATTTCATAAAGCCAGTGCGCAATACACACATCTTTCTAGCAAGTGAAAGATATTATTGTACAAAGATGCCGAGAGGTCACGATTTTTCGAGAGAAGAAAAATCTTTAATATTCAATGTTATCCGTTTTGTGGAAAACGAAAAATCTGGGCCGACGATTCCATCATTTTATGTCAGTGAACGGTTAGTGGCTATGCTCGGTATTTTGCTTCATTCAGTGAACAATTTGAAACATGAAATGTTAACTGGGACAGTATCGAATGAATCAGAGGATGAGTCAACATATACCGTACGGACAAGAAAAAGTAACCCTTTACCTGTTGACACATTGATAGCAGCCGCAACCACCCAGGTTACTTTGCCGAATCCAGTTTTGTCCAAGAAAAGAAGACATAGCGGTCGATCTTCGATCCGGTTATCAGAATACGGTGAAGACATGATCAGATACCAGTTCAACTTGATGCTGGCTGGAAAGATTTATCCAACCATCGATAAATTATTATCTCGACTTCACTCAACTGTCAAGATTTTCCTATCCACAGTCATACCACTTTGTCCAAGATTATGAAGAACTAGGATTTAAGTATTCTAAAACACCAAAAGCTACCGTACCACTCGATTCCACGTTCTTCATTGCTCAAAGAGCGTATTATTTTCGAAAACTGAATGAATTTCGCGGAAATGGTACATTGTTATTTTGGCATGATGAAACATGGGGAAATTCAGGAGAAGAAAAACATAGTATGTGGATAGATAATTCTGGCCAAGGAAGGCTTCGAAAGCGAGATGGTAAAGGTGAGTATTTATCTTAAAGAATTTGTCTTCCTGAATATCATCTTGTCGCTTTTTCATTAAGGACCCAGATTAGCAATCAGCGCTATGCTTAGCAAAGATGGAATTCACGAAAGTACGGTGGACATATGGGAAACTTCTAAAGAACATAATATGAATCGAATATAGAACTGCTATGAATTCATAGCAGTTCTA